AGATATGAAATGTGTGTGAGACAATATAGATACTGTTACCCATATTTCAGTGATGAAATGTGTGTGTGACAATATGAATACCGCTATCCATATTTCAGATATGAAATGTGTGTGTGACAATATGGATACCGCTATCCATATTTCAGATATGAAATGTGTGTGTGACAATATGGATACCGCTATCCATATTTCAGATATGAAATGTGTGTGTGAGACAATATGGATACCGCTATCCATATTTCAGATATGAAATGTGTGTGTGACAATATAGATACCGCTATCCATATTTCAGATATGAAATGTGTGTGTGACATTATGGATAACACTATTCATATTTCAGTGATGAAATGTGTAACAATATGGAAAATGTTGCCCAGATTTCAGTGATGAAATGGGTAACAATATGGAAAATGTTGCCCAGATTTCAGTGATGAAATGGGTAACAATATGGATAATGTTGCCCAGATTTCAGTGATGAAATGTGTAACAATATGGATAATGTTGCTAAGGTGTCTATTGAATTAGAGTGTTGGTTCACGAGTGCGAAAGCTTGAGTTGCTCAAGATTAACTAAATCTATTGTCATTTGATTTTGGACATAGTTCAGAAGTTCAGTCGACTTCTTGAAAACGAAACGGAATCCACGCATTGGCAATTCTCTCATCTTCCAGTAATTATATAGTTCTATCATCCGAAACCGTTATGATCACGTGCACTTGACATTCAATGACTTGTTTTATATTTGTAAACTCACGGAGGTGTCGATAGATTTATATCTTCGTTTTCGGGAAATCTACCCAGAGTGTTGTATTCTCGGTCAATCGGTCAAGTCAAGACAGCTCACACAAAAAGTCAGTATTCTCGCATCGAATGTTCACATACTTGTCATATTGAGAACACTGTAAACCGCATTATTGATATAGAGGGTTAAACGCAAATATGAATTAAACCATATGTTTTACTGCTTAATGATACATCTGCTATCAGACTTTAAGTATAATTTAGTGATACCTTAGTATCACCAAATACAGTGTACAACTAACACTTTCTTGATTAGATTTATTTTTTCGCTGTTACTTAATGATCAGGAACGATGTGACTTATCATAACATTAGTTGTCGCCAGGTTAACAGAATGATGTGACTTATCATAACATTAGTTGTCGCCAGGTTAACAGAACGATGTGACTTATCATAACATTAGTTGTCGCCAGGCAACAGAACGATGTGACTTATCATAACATTAGTTGTCGCCAGGCAACAGAACGATGTGACTTATCATAACATTAGTTGTCGCCAGGCAACAGAACAATGTGACTTATCATAACATTAGTTGTCGCCAGGCAACAGAACGATGTGATTTATCGTATTGTTAGTTGTCGATAGGCAACAGAACGATGTGACTTATCATAGTATTAGTTGTCGCTGGGCAACAGAACGATGTGACTTATCGTATTGTTAGTTGTCGATAGGCAACAGAACGATGTGACTTATCATAGTATTAGTTGTCGCTGGGCAACAGAACGATGTGACTTATCGTATTGTTAGTTGTCGATAGGCAACAGAACGATGTGACTTATCGTATTGTTAGTTGTCGATAGGCAACAGAACGATGTGACTTATCATAGTATTAGTTGTCGCCAGGCAACAGAACGATGTGACTTATCGTATTGTTAGTTGTCGATAGGCAACAGAACGATGTGACTTGTCGTATTGTTAGTTGTCGCCAGGCAACAGAACGATGTGACTTATCGTATTGTTAGTTGACGATGGGCAACAGAACGATGTGACTTATCGTATTGTTAGTTGTCGATAGGCAACAGAATGATGTTACCTATTTTAATATTAGTTGCTACCAAACAACAGAACGACGTACCATAATTTGTGTTTAGATGCTTTCATTTTCTGTTTTCAAACAAGCATCAACTGTAATTGAATTAAACTCTATTACAGGCCTGCAAACAGAGGAAAATACTGTTTGGGACGAAGAACTCGTTATCTCTCCTGTAACATGCACGTAAGTATGAAGATTACTTATTTTGAAAAGTAGATTTTTCTGTAACTTGCACGTAAGTATGAAGATTACATCGTTTAAATGCTATTTATCTTTTTCTTGGATAACTATTGGATCTTCATTAATTTTTCCCACCAAGGCCAGCAATCCTTCTCGAAGAAATATAACATTTGATATAAATTATTTGAGAAAGTTTAAAATTTGGAACATGATTCTAAGAGCATAGAACTGAGCGTGGCCCAGTGTTTAACGTGCCATACTTTGCTTATATGAATCTTTACCTCGCTTTCTGTAACCACCAAAAAAAGTAATAATAGTAAAATAGCGGTCCGTTTTGGATGCATTATAAGGGTGACTATCAGATCCCACCATTCGGTAAGAAAACAAATAGCCCAAAAGTTGGCGATAGATGCAGTTAACTAGCTTCCTTTCCTCTAGTTTATCTGTTCAAAATTAGGGACAGCTAACTCTAGTGTGCTTTGTGCAAATATCCAAAATATACAAATTCATAATTCTACAGATAATTGACCTTTCTTTGTATTCATTACAACAACGGGATATGCATCCAATGGCATAGCAAGGGTTCTCAGCACCCGGGGGCAAAGACACTTTTGGCGCCCCCCACCTCTGAAATGTTTTGATTATTTGTGACTCATTACCCACTTAATGAAAATAACATAAAGAACTAAGTACCGCCTTAAACAGGCCTAAAATAAAGTCACAATATAACATCTCACGATTTCACAACTGTAAACCTGGAACTAATGAAGTATAGCCTACTAGGTGTACTTACATAATTTGTAAACCCATTTTTGATATTCATATCATCCAGTATTGTTCAA